AAGGGGGGCGGGGGGAAGAGAAAGTCTTTGATGCAGATGGAAAAAAAATATATATATATTGCTTCCCAAAAGGACACTGTGTCTTATACACAGCCTACCGTGCACGGCAGCAGACGTACAGTTGCCGTGCACGTGTGAGCTTGGACTCACCAGCCGCACCAGCTATTGAGCTGCAGCCCGTGTTAGTACAACATGTCCTAGTTGCTTCCTGTGGAGAAGCTAAACTTAGATGTTGCTCGTCTGGTGTCCTCAGCACCTTGACTGACACGTCTGTGGCTGCTGGCAGCGCACAGGGGTTGCCGAATTTCCAAGCGGTCAATGGAGAGCAGACAGCAAGCCCGGGGAGGAGGAGGCACGGAGAGGGTAACGGAGTATTGACCCACTGACTGCAGAAAGCCAAACCAGAAGACCTGGGCGCACAGCACCAGGCTGTCTGCAGATCCCCAGCTGCTTTGTCCAGCTCAGATCACTGCAATTCAAATGGCACCACTGCACAGAAGTCTGTGCAAGGATCTGCTTTTCAGCAGTCCAGATAAATTTGTTTCGCTCAGGTGCATCATACTAGATGTCATCTCCAAACAAGTTGAAGAGTGGGGGGTTATTGGAAGTGGGCAACACGGGTTTACCAAGGGTAAATCATGTATGACCAATCTGATAGCCTTCTATGATGCCATAACCGGTTGGTTGGATGAGGGGAGGGCAGCAGATGTCATCTACCTTGACTTCAGCAAGGCTTTTGACACTGTCTCCCATAACATCCTCATTGGGAAACTGAGGCAGTATGGGCTGGATGAGGGGACAGTGAACAGCAAGCCCGGGGAGGAGGAGGCACGGAGAGGGTAACGGAGTATTGACCCACTGACTGCAGAAAGCCAGAGTAGGAGAGGGATCTGGCCAAGGCAGAAGACCTGGGCACACAGCACCAGGCTGTCTGCAGATCCCCAGCTGCTTTGTCCAGCTCAGATCACTGCAATTCAAATGGAACCACTGCACAAAAGTCTGTGCAAGGATCTGCTTTTCAGCAGTCAAGGTAAATTTGTTTCGCTCAGGTGCATCCTCATCCCAATGGGGACCTCAGCCTCAGGGAATGCCACTGACCCTGCTCCTCTCTGCATTTCAGTGTGTGCAGATGGTGACACGCACGACTCACCTGTCCACAGATCTGTCCAGAGACTGGCAGCTCCCAGACAGCGACCCGTCGGGGCTGATGAAAACTTCAAGCATCTGGCAGTGAAAGAAAAGGGGAAACAATGAAGTCACACACTGTAGCTCTTCAAACTCCCGTCCCAGCAGAGCTCTGCAGGGTCAACAAAGCTCCACGGAAGCTGGCCGATTTACACCAGCTGATGCCAGCCCCAGTAGAGATGACATCCAATCTATCCAAAGTTTTCCTCCCAGTGGAAATCCATTTATGATGCCCTCTCTGGATTATTGTTCTTTCCAACCGCTGTTTGCTAAGCGGGGAAACCGAGGCAAAGGTAATTAGCACCCTGATATTCAAACCATGCTGGGAAGTCAATGAGATTCAAAGTATTAGTGGAAAAATAATTAAAAAAAAATAAAAATGAGGACACAAATGACATGCCCAAGGCCGAGTGGATGTTGTGCACCACAGCCAGGATCACAGCCCTGGACTCCTGACTTCCCCACGTTGCCCTACCACACGGACCAGCCTTCCTCTCCAGTGATAAGCAAAGCATCACCAGGGCTTTTGGCTGGAGAAACTGGTTTGGCTCTCACTAGCTCCAGTGAGTCAAAAAGCTGCATTTGTGTTGCTTCCTGGATGAGACATTGTACTGGCCGGGGTTATTTATAGCTGGTTAGTAACAATAGAGGTTTTGTATTGAGTGGCAACCCCAGGGGCTACGTGGAGCAGAGCTTGCTCAGGGCCACGCTGTGCTGCGGTGGGTACGATGCTTCCTCCTGGCTGCAGACCCACTGTGGACACTCACTGATCCCTGCTCCACAACCAGCCCCAGGCCCAGCTCCTCACCAGGAAAGCTGAGCAAGGAGGGTTAAAAACCACGTGGAGTCCCCCTTTGCTGGCTCCCAGACCCACGTTGCTCCTCCTTCCCCGTGCAGGGGAACAGCCTCCTTTTCCATGGTCTGTTCCTGCCTTAGACCTCCTCAGCCCGTTGTCATAACAGCTCACATTGTTTTGGCAGGACCGTCCCAATTGGAAAGCGCGATTTTTCTCTGCTTCCCAGTTTTATACCCCAAAGCCTCATCCATCAAAATGCACAAGTCACAGAGGAGTAAGACCTCTGCTAGACCCCACTCCCCACCTCTGCCAGCCATGCCAGGTCCCTCCCAGCAGTTAAAATAACACTGAAACGGATTCATTTCTCGAAAGCATAGAATTGGGAATCCAAGGAGGCTCCACACTCAAGCTCTGCTCATCTGCCAAGCTGGTCTCCAGGCAAAGTCTGCAGTTACATCACAGGCTCGCACAGGGGCATCCCCCAAAAAGCAGCAACCACCAGCTTGTAAGTGGTTTTCCATGTGGCACATGTGGAAGCTGCAGCACGAGAACGTTCTGAGGGCAAAGCCCATATGGGGAATCGCACGGCTCCTCCATCCCCAAATCCCCTTTTTACTGCATTTACCTCACCAGAGAAGGGCAGCAGGCCACCCACAGCGTGGTGCTGGGGAAAAGCAAGGAGAGCATCTGGGAAGCTTCATGAGGAGCAGGCTCAAAGCAGAGCTAGCCCTAACGGGGCTCCCTTGACAGCCAGTGGAGCTGCGCTGATTTGCACCCAAGGGGGGGGCTTCATGTGGACCCTCCCCCCGCACGCACACACAATTTGTCTTAATCCTACCAAACGTGCTTGGAAGCTACGTGAAAACAATAGAAAGCCAACTTTTGGCTGCAAGGAGCACAAGATACATCTGCACTCTGACGCTGCCAAGACTCACCCGGAGCGATTTCTTGTTTTATTAATGGCTGTATAATAAACTGTTGAAAACACAGCTTTGCCATAGAAACCCTGGCACAGCCTGCACACAAAAGCAGAGCTAGTGGGTGCTATCTGAGCGTAGAAAAGCTCATTTCCCTACGCAAGATCCTTGGGGACCAGCACACCAGCCTGCTGGAGTGAGTTTAGTGCCTTCTGGATGTCCGTCCTGCACAGCCAGCCCTCCTGAAAATTGTGGATCCTGGTCCTGCCCTTCCAAGAGCATTGCAAGAATGAATTGTGTGCCCAGTTAGCCCAGGTGACTTCACAGGACCTATATGAAGCTCTGCAGGGCTATAGCTTGAGCAGAGATGCAAACTGAGAAGGAGATTTAAGCTGGTCCCTCAACAGTCCAGTTTCCTCCATCGTGGGTACCAAACTGACTGGAGGAAGGAGGTTCTGCTCATCACTGTGCTGAAAAACTAGCTGCTCTTTTATTACTAAGGGATTGGAATATACAAACTCCTTATTAAGAGAGGGGGGAAAAAAAGGGGATTGTATGAAGGAGGGACATAGAGAGAGGCTGCAGGCAGAGCCAAGAACTGTAGCTGGAGCTCAGGGAGAAGCAGCACCTGGGAAACAGTGAGAGTTGCTGACATGCCCAGGCTGTTGCAATCCCAGGCAACAACCGGTTGCTTGGCACACTCCCTCCTGCTCCCCGGGATCCGGGAAGGCTGTGGCCACAACAGCCTGGCAGCTGGTGTGCACGTGTGAGCCAGATCCACACTCCTCCACAGCTACCTGAGGTGCCTGAGCACATTGCCATCACCCCCCCCAGCTGGCTTTTAGGGTTCCTGGAAATCTGGCCCACTGTTTCTTGAGTATGTCAAGCCCAGAGGCACCCATTCCTGGAAAAAGCTGGCTTGAATCCCATGTGCAGGAACAACAGTGGGAATGGCACTTAGGAGTACTGTACTGTACTCGGCACTGGTGAGGCCACACCTCGAGTATTGTGTCCAGTTTTGGGCACCTCAATACAAGAGGGATCTCGAGGTGCTGGAGCGAGTGCAGAGGAGGGCAACGAAACTAGTGAAGGGCCTAGAAGACAAATCATATGAAGAGCGGCTGAAGGAGCTGGGGCTGTTCAGTATGAGGAAGAGGAGGCTGAGGGGAGACCTCATCACTCTCTACAACTACTTGACACTGTAGAGAGGTTGGGGCTGGTCTCTTCTCACAGGTAATTAACAATAGAACGAGAGGGAACGGCTTCAAGCTCCAACAGGGTAGGTTTAGATTGAACATTAGGAAGGAATTCTTCACAGAGAGAGTGGTCGGGCATTGGAACAGGCTGCCCAGGGAGGTGGTAGAGTCACCATCCCTGGCTGTGTTTAAGGGACGTTTGGATGGGGTACTGAGGGATATGGTGTAAGGGAGGACTTTGTAGAGTAGGGTAGATGGTTGGACTCGATGATCCCAAGGGTCTCTTCCAACCTCAATGATTCTATGATTCTATGAGTGCAGCCTCCCTCGTGTCTGACGCTGCCCCAGGTTAACCCACAGGCCCCAGCCCCACTCACATTCTGATCCATGGTCTCGGGGATGAACTCGCCCTCGCTGTTGATGCTGGTGTAGGATCCCTGGCGAGCAATCTGCTGCTGCTCCTCAGGAACGCTCCCCGGGGGCGGAGAGCTCCGGCCGGTGTGCAGGGACCCTAGGACACGGAAAAGGCACGGGTCAAGGAGAGGACTTGCCACATCCAAGTCCTTCCAGAGACACTGTTCCAGTGATCACAGACCTCCAGGAGACACTGCTGGGTTTGAACTTGTGTGGAAGAGAATGGAGCTAGAGATGAATATTGTTTATGGACATCCTACACAGCTTTTGCAACAGGGACAGTTTCCTACTGTGGGGCCACGCAACATCTAGCGGACTTAGCCTTCAAGCTACGCTGGATCTTAAGAGCTGTGCACTGTATCCAGGTGCTCTGTCGATGCCAGAAAGAAAAGAGCTCCAGAGTTTTGTTGCAATACAGTCAATCCCAAAGCAAAATGCAAACTCCAAATCCACCTCCCCTCTTTCACCTCCCGGGCATTTCCTCCCTGGACCACATCACCGCCTCCTTCAGCAATGTGGGAAACAGCCTGGGTAAACTCGTTGCAACATCACTTCTTACATGGAAAACCACTTGCACTCAAATACCCCTCTTCTCTCTCCCTTCCCTGTATGAAAGTAAAGAGGAAGGAAAAACAGCCCTTAAATCCATGAACCATAGCAAGGAGAATGGCCTACAGGATCAGCTCGTCCCACGTCCTGCCAAAGGAGGGTTGTCTCCCCTGTCTGTAGCCTCAGAGGCTCCATCCCTGCAGTTGGCAGAACCTCCGTACCAGGCAGAGCCACCTGGAAACCCCTAGGGCTTTGCAGTGCATCATGCACACCCCAGCACATGGAGCAAGACTTTCACAGGCATCCCACAAGACCTGTTTAGCAAAGGGGGGGTTCTGTTTTGCACCTGGGAGAGAGCTCCACAGCTTCCTTACCCCAACACCCCATTCCTCTCCCTTATTCCCCACAAATTCACCCTAATTGATTCCTCGTGCCTTTTCAGGATATAGAGAGCATTGCCCTCACTTAGCCCAGATGGATGCACAGGCTTGGCTCTGCTTGTCTTTCTGCAGTCCCTCCCCTCCATCCCTGGGCTGTCATCACTTCGTGGCAAGGAATTGCTGACGGAGGTCCGTGCTGCTCCGTGCTGGAGCTCAAACCAGTCGTTATTGTGCAATGTGAGCTTTCACGCAACACAACAACTTGTTTTTAAGCAGGCTTCTAAAATAGCACACATCCTTTAAGAATTAAGAAAGCACACGGAGATGTGTTTCCTTACACTTTGCATCCATTTTTGCAGCCATCTCGCCAACTCTTTGGTTCATTACCACCACTTGGTAACAACATGCCCAGGCTAAACACCAAATTGCAAGAGAAAGGTACCGGGAAGGGGCCTATCCCACGGTGAAAATTCAACACTGATCAATCAACACAACCCTTTTGCCTCTTCTGCTGCTATTCTGCATCACAGCTACTTTGCCAGATTGATCTCTGGCATAAATCCATCAGCGTGATCAGCACTACAAATCTGAGTCCCCACCTCTCACTTAAGCTGATACACATCAGGAGCTGCTAACATTAGCAGTGTCACACCAGCAGTAAAGACCACTAAATCAGCCCTGCTGGATTTACACCAAATGCATAGATATCTTTGTCCCACAGTACATCTCCCTTCAGACTCCTTGCTCTGATTGTAAAAATAAAAGTCATATGGCTTTGAGTTACTTTCTTTTTTTTTTCTTCTTCCTATTTTCTCCACAGATTTCCTGCAGGATAAGAACACAGCGAAAAAAAAAAAGTCCCACTGAAGTAACGCCAAGATCAAGGGGAGAGAATCTCTCGAGTGCTGTGGCATTCATAATGAACTGGCTTTCCACCAGCCCTAAAAACAAAACCACTTGGGAAGTACGGCATCCTCTCTTTGAAGATAAATAAACAAACGTTTAACCATTTAACAGTTCGGGCACCCTGGATAAATCACTGCATTATCATCCCCTCCTTTGCTTAGCAGATGGCAATCCAGAACGCTGCCTAAAGAGATTAGGGTGGCTCTTGCTTCCAAAAAAGCTGCTAGGGAATTTGACATGGTATAACTGCTCTATCTTAGTTCTGTTGAGCTAAGCTGGATACTGAGTTGTTACTACTACGGTGAGGTGTGGGATCTCTCACTGCAACAACCCACCCACTGCCCAGGAAGCCTTCAACGTGGGTTTTACAAAGAGCTGTCCCTGCCCTGTTTGATTTTGAACCCAGGGAGTTAAATGAGATTTATCACAAGCGTAAAGACTTAGCATGATCTCACATTAAGCCTTTGCCTGTAACAACTACTCCCAGTCATCAGGTCAGTTGTGTTTGACCTTCCAGAGTCACATTTCCTGCCAAAAACTGTAAGAGGGGATAAGACACCAGCCATTTCCCAGCAGGCAAGGAAGTTAAACAAAAACGCTCAGGCTTTTGCATGCCTGGAAACTGCTGGATTGAACCCGATGCTTTTCAGCCAGGCTGTTTGGGTAGAAAAGCTGCTCAAAGTAATTTATGCAGCTTCACACCTCCAGGAGCACCGGTTGCTGCTGCTTCACAGCCGAGGAACACAGGGAGGTGGTGGGAGCAGAGCTCTGGGGCCCAAGACTGATTCCCCCATCCAGCCCTATCCTGCCCTGTTAACAAAAGGGGGGAATGGAACTGGGGCAACAGGAGGCATTCTGGATATATTAGATAATGCTGCTTCACACACCCAGAGGCAGAGGAAAAAATGGACAGACAAGCCCAGATGTGCCTGTTTGACACATATCACAGATGCCCTTCACACCTGACCTAATGCTCAAGGAACAGCAGCACCATGCAGAGAGAGGAGACCCCCAAGGGCCTGTCCTCGTGGGGTCTACAGGATCATATGTGAGTTCCAGTCCTCAGACCCAGTGGGGAGGGGGCAGGCTCTGAGGCATTTCTTTATAAGCCGAATGCTGGCTGGATCTCAGCAGCTCTATTCAGGATTCCTGAACTCAGAGAAACTCTGCAGATTGGCACGGGTTGAGCATCTGACCTTGGTTACCCTCTGGAGCAAGGTGTTTTGGGAAGGGACTCCATGTTACACTCACTAATGTAAAGCCATATATTTGAGGCTAGAGCACAGCATGTCCCGAGCAGGGTGAACCAGGCCAGCACGGAGACTTACAGTCACTGCTGGCATCTGCTGGGGTCTTTCATGTTCCCTTCTGTTATTTTTATTTAAGAAGTGTCTTTCATGCAGTATGTGCAGAACTCGTGGTGCTGCACGTACAGCCAGCTCCCCTGTGCCAGGCTTGGCTTCCCTCCGCCTCCCCGTTCCCCGGCTTCACCCTTTCCCTGACCTGCCCGGTCCTTCCCCAAAACTTCATCCATCCCTTGATGGGGATCGAGCCGGGGGGTCCCGATGGAGAAAAGAAGCCCCTTAGAAGTCAGAGCTTGGGAGGGTTTGTTGGCAGCCTCCTACACTCACAGCTGCAGCTACAAAGAGCCCAGCCCTGGGATGACATCGCCGCAGAGCCCAACGAAGGACAATGACGTCAAGATGCGCCGTTCCTCCGAGCCCTGGCAGAAACACGGGGCTCAGGATGCAGCAGCAGCAGAAGAAAAGGAGATAAACCTGCAGGAAACTTCTCATTCTGTGACTGCCCAGGGGAGGTGTGAGCAGACGGACCAAATCTCCCTCGATTTCTTCTTTTTCAGTGGGACCTCTACAAGTCTCCCTCCTCGCCCTCCCGATCCTCTGAGGATGGATTCCTACATCTTGATTTAAGGCAAACTTTAGGGTCCATCTATGCTAATAAGCAGGACAGAGCCCATTTTCTAGCCCTAAAGAAGCTGGCATGATGCACACAGACAAATTCTCCTCCTTTTCTCAAAACAGAGGGGATCTCATCCATCTTAACATCTGCAACAGGTCCCTAGCCCATGCTGCCCCAGTTTGTACCCAAGCGTCGCTGGGATGGCAGTTTCTGGTACAGGGTTGGCCAGGGAATGTGCTAACGATTAAGCAACCTCATCAACGGCCAGCCAGTGTTTGTGTCCTGGCCCTGTGAATTTAACAGCACAGATATCACCTCCAGGTCTTTGTTTTTCAGAGTCATCTGGCCAGCCTGGGCACCAGCAAAGTTTTTCTACCACCTCTCTCTGGAGATCTGCATTCAAATCCTCAGCAGCCTGGTTTGCCACCATGGAAAAATGAAATAAATAAATAAATAAAATTAAGCTTTTGGCAAACGTTTCCACTGAAGTGGTGATTCTGGAATAGGGCTCTTGAATAATTTGTGGGTAATGTTGTGAAACATGTATTTATTCAAAGTACATAAGAACAACCCTCAGGTATCTGAAAATCCAGAACCCCAATACATTTTCAGCCAAAATTTCCTGGCACTCAGCTGAACACTTGCAGATGCTGGTCACCAAGAGACTGGAACATTTTCCACTTAAAAAAAAAAAAAAAAAAAATAAAGCAGGGTTGGGATGTTCTACTGAAAAACGTTTATGGGAGGAAAAAAAAAAGAAAATATTGACTTTGCATAAGGTTTTTCAGGGACATGGACTGAGGACACTTTCTGTCCAGCAGAAGCAAAAATAGCCAAAATCTTCCCCAGAACATCTACCCCCCCTTCCAATGTGCTTGTGCCAACAACATGTAGTTTTATTATTTTTCACTGCTGCTAACATGGCAGAGTCAGCAGAAAAACATGAGACATCCCAGAAACACTGAGAACATGACCCTGAACCACCTTTTTTTTTTTTTTTAATAAAGTCACTTTAAATCTCCTTTTCAATGTGATTTCAAGAGAAAAGCTGAACTGAGTTAAGATCCCCTCTTGATAGCAGCCACTTTGATGCCAGCAGAAGCAAACACTGAAATACCTTGCGATTGCAAGTGAAGAATAGTTTCTCCTGCAGAAATCCCAGCCTCTTCGGCTGCCTTTGGACCATCCACAGAGTTCAGTGAAATCCCTGCTTCGGGGAACCACAACACAGGATCATCTCTCCCTGTCTGTTGCCCAACGTTCAGTTTCATGCTCCATTTGAAACACTGGTCTCCTTTTTCAGCTCACTGGAGTTTCTGCCCAGCTGCTAGATTATCCAGTTCTGACCCGGGAGGTGAAAAAGCTGGATGTGCTGGATTGTGAACACCTCCTAAGCAGGGCTGTAGTAGGTTCCTACAGACCCCAGATAACTCCAAGGTGAGGGCTCTGGTGTGCTGTTACCCACACAGAGGGTTGGTTGCAACTCTTTTCAAACTAAGAGCAAAATGGATGATCTTCATGTAAAAAAATCATACTAGATAGATGACTTTAGCACGAGCTCATTACCTTTGCTACCTAACAGAATCAAGGACAATGGTTTTGGTGCATTAGTGGTCATCATGTAGACCCTCCTGAAGACCCCAAATTTAGCACACTCTGCATCCCACATCTGGTGCTCCCAGTCCTCCTCCTCCATGACCTAGATTAAACCAGCATGTCATATCCATTCCTCCACTCTGCTGTTTAGGCATTCCCTCAAAATCCATCTGTACCTCAGGCTGTCACCCCTGCAGAGCTGATCTCTCTTCCTTTGTCTGCCTTATCTACATGAAGGATACTGTTCAAGGCAGTGACACCTCACAGCCACTGGTGTGGACCTGGTCAGGGACTCTCTCTGTGTGTTGCAGCAGCTCCAAAACAGTAAGGAAAGACTTTTGTGTCAACGCTTTCACCTAAGTGGGCAAAAATAATCTTCTCACTAGCACAGGCACACATGGGATCAATTCTGCCCATCACGCTCAGTTCACACATCCGTGACAGCTCCCAGTGCCACAGCTCTTCCTTGGCTTATGTTAACAGCTTAACGAGTGCCAGAGCAGAGCAGCAGAGATGTTTCACACAAGCACAGTTTCTGCTGAGGCTCTGTGCCTTACCATGTATTTCTGTGATTCAGAATTATCTGGTGACTCTGCCAGACTCTGGGCAAACTCTCAAGAGCCGTGTGAGCTAGCAAAACCACCCCACAATAGAAAAAGACACCCCTGGCACATTCAAACACCAGGCCCAAAGAGAGCTCTTGTACCACCCACGCCTGGCGTTGGTAAAAGCTGGGCTTGGCTGCACAAGGGGCTATATTGGACCTACCCCAGAAGAACATTTCCTATAGATCATTGTCTGAGATGCAGCAAACCACAGGGTATGTTATCAAGGCAGCACAGGCTAAGAGACAGAGAAAGGGCAAATCCTTGGAGAAAAATACTCTTTTGTTGCACAGAGAAAAGAGTTTGGAAGTGTTTACTGCCATGTAAGTACAAGGTATCTTTGGAGGTTGAAGCATATATTCATGTATATTTGTACAGGAGGACCCCAATTTATTCAAGGCCTCTGATGCTGTCATTTCTACAGTTGTTGAAAAATTGTATGAAAACAATAGAGATCTGTAGAAATTACTCTAACCAGCGCCCACAGATGCAGCAGAGGACACTTAGGCTATTTCAGGATCATTGAGTCCGCCTATAGGTTGTAATATGAGTAATTATACCTCTGCTATATACCAAGAAAAGCATAAATTCAAGCACAGAAAACCAAAGACAAGACCACACAAGGCTATGAACAAACTCCAGTCCCTGCAGGGCTACAAGAAAAGACTAGGCATTTGCCAGAGTGGCTTCAGAGGCTGCAGGGATCTATTCTCAGCACCTCTGAAGGAAAGGGATGCTCCCCTGCACCTGAAATGTGACTGCTGCAAGACACTGTGCACATCCCTGCTCCTGAGAAACCATAAAAGCACAGACTTCATTTCACCAACAAGACCAGATTGGTGGCACAGAGACACATATGTGGTCCATATGTGGTCAAGTTGGTCCAAACTCAGGAGCTAAGGAACCCAAGCCTGTTTAGTTACGTTATTGTGCTGAGGAACAGGGAGAGATGCCAAGAGAACAACAGCAAATGGTTAAAGGAGTAATAATGACAAGGTCTCAAAAAGCCGTGGTTTTTTATAGATCCTCACTCTTTGCTTCAGTAAAGCTCAGTAGCATCGAATTCACTGGAGGTTTTTACCACTGCATTTCTCCCCTCAAATTACACCTCAGATCCCCTGCTCTTCATGTCAACCATGACTCTGCTCAGCACAACCTCATCCGACCCGTGCAGCCTGAAGAGTCTCCTCCTCAGGCTGAAGAGTCTCCTCCTCAGGCTAAGGGTAAGCAGCACTGCACTGAGCTACGGGTGGGAGGAATCAGGGTGACCATCCAGACTGTAGGAGCTCCAGGGTTGTGAGAGGAAAGAGAAAGGGGACAACGGCCAGCTTGTAACAGCACAGAACACCCCGCAGAGCACCGCGTTTCACTGACCTGTTGAATACTTCCGCGTCCTCTCGGAGTCCTTGTACAGGGATCCCATGATATCCCCCATGGATCTGGAGATCCTCATTTCGTGCTGTTTACTGTTGTTTGGCTGGAGGAGCTGGTAATTAGACAAAGTGAATGATGAGACTGTTGCAGTCCTTACAGACACATCATGTGAAACCCTGCATTTGGCTCCCCATGACCAAAATGATGAGACTCTGTTGCAGCCCTTACAGACACATCACGTGAAACCCTGCATTTGGCTCCCCATGACCATGTTACCCCAGAACCATAAACAAAAAAAAGGACATGTATGTAAACTAGGGTGATCCAAAAAATCACTCACAAACAACTCACATCTGTCATTAAAATACTCCAATAAGGTAAGTTTGGACTCCAGTTGATAACAGTAAATACAGATATTTGACATAAAAGACTGTTTCCACACTGCTTTATTTCCAGATAGAGAGAGAGACTGATCCCTGAACCCAAATTTGCAGTCCCGAAATCAGAGCCTGTCCTTCACACTCCACAGACTTCAGTGGCAGAGGCTCCTCTGTAACAGAGCAGAGGAACAGAGAGTGGAGGGTCAGGAGAACACAGATTGGAGGATCAGGTTCTGCTATGGAAGACAGATTGGGAGAAAGCAACAAAATTACAATCCAGGCGCTAATTAAGTTGTAGAGGCCAAGTCTTACTAAGATAACACGCTACAGCGCACTGTGATATTGTGATAATTTTATGTATGATCTCGGAACCATATGTTCCTGCATGGTCACGTGCTTCAAGAAGAGTTTGACCTACTCTCAAAGGTACACATGAATCCACCCGGCTGCTCTGCTCTAAGTAGTTAACTTGCAATACTGCAGTGTTCCTGCAGTTGTAAAGGCAGATCATCCCATTGCTGCCCAGGATTTAGGAAACCCTGATTAATGGCTCAGTTTTCCCCTGGAACTCTGGTCCCTGCACCTTTTGAAAGCCTCTCAAAAGGAACAAAGGAGTTCCAGGAGTTTTAAGCACCAGCGGTAGCATGAGGACAAACAGTATGAGTTTCAAGACTCCCAGTCTCTCTGGTACTTCTAGGAAATATAAGGAAGAAACGGAGTTGCAACATCTGCAGATCCCTTGCTTTACAGCCTGTGCTTGGGGCAGCACGACATGTGCTTTGGCAAGACACTCCGTGCAGGCGAGGTCAGGCTAATGGGCTTAACTGCAAAACCACTGAGCTCAGGAAAAACAAATAAAAAATAAATAATGGGGAAAAAAAAAAAAAAAAGGCAGTCTTTCATGAGATGGAAGGATTCTCCAGTTTGCTCTCCCTGGCCTTTAGTATTGCAGCAGTACATGGAGGGAACGGTCCTCAGGCTGTCACCCAGGATGGCAAGGACCAAGGCTTGTGATGTGTATGGAGGAGAGGCTACAGAGGAATGGTGACAGCATCCCTAGGCAGAAAGCACAAGGCATTCTCCTGGGATTTAACCTTGTTTGAGGAGCAGTGCAGTACTTAACCCTTCACAGGCTGCAGGAAGAGCTAGGGGGAGCTGAGCTTAGCCTCTGGGCTGCTACCACAGGAGGATTTCCGTGTGGTTGAGCCAGAGCAGGGCTGACCCCCATCACAACCAGCTTGCCTCTGCTCTGCACTGTCAGGAGTCTCGTTTCCACTCCCCAACACAATAACAAGGCATCTCGCACCGGACACAAAAGAGCAGAGAAGGTGAAGGGCTCACATTCGCTTTCTTTGGAGCGCTCACAAGGATCCGCAGGCTCTTCAGGGAAGGGCTCAGCTCCAACTGTTCCACCGCTTTGTCCAAATCTTCCTGGGATTTCAGCGGGATCAGGAGCTGGAAGGGATTGAACAAACACCGGAGCACGGCAGTGTCACACTTTTGGGTAAACAGAGGAAGCCAGATCCTCGCAGCGAGCAGCTTGGGAATCGGGGGATGAGGGAGGAACGCAAGAAGGCGGATGGAAAACAGAGCCCCCATGCCCTCCAGCTTGCCAAGCTCTTAACATTTTCTTCCAAGTTCTCATCTACCAAGGAACAGACGCAAAAAAGTCACAACAAAAAACATCTGCAAGGTGTGAGCTTAAAGGTCACATCACCAATTCAGCTGGTGGGAAGAGGAGAGGGCTGAGATGAAACCTTAGGCTTGCTGCCTGCTAACTCTGGGGCTGCTGTGATCTTAGAGTTTGTAGGCAAGACCTGCTGCTACCCAGTCCCAAAAGAGCCCCACACATTCTTCCTGGGTCATGCTCCAAGAAAGCAGTGAGCTACACCAAAGCTCTGGTAGATTCTCAGAGGCCTTCCCTTCTGCTGCAACCTGTGTTCCTGGACACTGACACAGTCTCCCCAGTGTTTGGGCATCAGGTGAACCCAGGGAACATCTCACAAATAAGAGTCTCTTTCCTTTTGATGTGAAAGCTGTGCACTGCTCTCCCTCCAAGAACCACTTCTTTAATTCCCAGAAGGACAAGTTCAGCTTCTGATCTTTGTAAAGTAAACAGAACAGAGCAGTACATAGTGCCGTGTCTATCAAGTACCTAAAGGTCCTGATGTTTTCCTGGTTAAGTGGCACACTATTGCCCTCCTATCTCCAGAGAGAATTTGACCCTCCTGACATTGCTGTGTGGTGTACCACGTCCTGCAAAGCTTCCAACACCCAACACAGCTGCACTTCAGAGGGTGGCCTTCCTGCTGCCTTGGGCTAAGATTAAAAACACAACTTTTTGCCCCACATCCAGGGGCATTCTGCCTAATCTCATAAAAACCAGTCCTCGGCCTCCGTAGGTTGCCTCGGGCATTGGCACCGAGTCCAGCCAACACAGCACGTTACACTCGTGCCTGTGCCAAAGCACACAGCGGTTCCACCTACCAAAGGGACAGAGCGGCCGCAGCTCCCAGTAGGCTCCCACTGGTCTTACTGGGAGCCACAGCTGCCCAAAACTTCTGAAAGGCCCTGGGTGATCAGTTTTCATGCCACCAGCCACAGAATGCACCTCAGATCAAACGCTCCAGAAGACGACACTCAAAAGCTGCCTGTGACTACCTTTTTGATCCCAGGGTGTTGCCAAGGGTTTGGCTGTTGGCCTGCAGGCAAATACACCTCAGACTGTGTGTGCTGAGGCTAGGACTCCAGGGATGACCAGGTCAAGGGAAGGCTGTGGGCCCTGGCCAACAAGATGAGGCTTCACCTCAGGAAACTGCTACAGTCACCTTCTCCACCCAAGAATCACAGCCTGATTCACCAAGCTCCATCTTAAGGGTCTGCAGTGTGAACATCTCAAGGTTTGGATTAAGTTTCTCCTCTCCTGTGGTTATCTTTCATCCCTATTTTTCACACAGGGAAACAAATCATATACAGGCCACCTCTTTCATATGACAAACATCAAGTTTATCACCATCATCCCACCAAGAAAGCCAAGCTCCCACAGCTGTGAGCAGTAGGTAGTCCTCAGCTTATACCTTACTTTAGGCCCTCAGCTTCAAGATACTGAAAGCCAGGTCTGCAAAGGGGCACTGCAATAGCTACGTTTAATGCAAGCTGATTTCTGTAGAGTTTACAGTCCCAAATTAGATACCCAGGACCCCTACAGCTTGCAGAGGAGAGTTAGATATCCAGAAATGGGATGAAGAGGTGAGGAAAGTAAGCTGCCAGGTGCAATTGCTGGAAGCAGTGGTAATTGCTGAGGAAAGACAAGGCCAGTTCTCAAAACATACCTAAGCAACAAACTCCAGGTTGAGTTAGGAGGGCTCTTCTAGTGTAAGGTATGCAAATGTGGTTGAGAAATTTCTACAAAAAGTCAGAAAGAGAGACTCCAGAGCAAAGCATTTAGCATATTCACCCAGAAAGAGGGATAATTTGGTTGTGTAGCCTTTGTCTGAAAACTATTCAGTTATTTGTGTGTAGGAAAAAGATTCCAAGGGGAACTCTTGAGAAAGCCTTGTCCCGGGATGTCCTACAGGGTGTTGATGAGGGTACTTGAGTTCTCAACCAAACCAGATGGGGAAAAGTTCAGATGTCCCTTACCTCCCAAGCAATAGACCTAACCAGCTGTGGGGTTTACAGAGAACACCAACACTAGTCTTGTCTGGGCTGGGTTTCCAGCAAGGCTGGAAACAGATTCCCAGTTTGGGACAGGGCTTGGACATGAATGAAAGGAAAGTACTCACCAGGTAGGTATCAACTATTTGGGCTTTCAGTAGGTCCATGGAGTAAATGGTCAGCCCATGGTTCATGGTTAAACTTTGGGATCCGAATGAATCAGCCATGGTCACAGCAGATACCAGACAAAGACGGTATTGAATATGTCTCCTAAATGCTGTCCAGCTGTTCTCAGACAGCCTATTTCCTTAAGCAGTAAAGCTTAAGAGATATTGGTACACTCTTGGTGCACAGCTTAACACTCCTGAAGTTCCCAAGGGCTCCACAGGTACATCAAGCAGACAAGCCTTCTCTCCTACTTTCCCCCAAGCAGAAATGAGAACAGTGGAGAGCTGCTCCCCCTCATTTAACCACCAAGCAGAATTTGACTCGGAACTCTCCAAGTCCCACTGCTCATCCATCTTTTTACTGAGCTCCTCAAAAACGTTCGGAGCAACCCCTAGCCTGTTCCTTTGAACAAAATGTTCTGCAAGTCGCTCCATCTCACTCCAGTATCACAACATTAACACATTTGCAGGCCTGCTCCAGAGGAGCCAAAAACATCAGGCAGAAATTGCCCTCCTGTAAAAGGGACTGGAGCCAGTATTTAGCTTGGCTTTACCTATTACCCACATCTGGCAGGTAGATTTCGCTCCATTTGGCTTCCAGACTGTGGCACACATGGATATCAGGAACAGATATCCACTAGGCATGAAACTAAATATAGACTCGTGCAGAACCATGGAAGTAATTGCCAGGGTGCATTTCCAGTAACTGGGTTTATTCTGTCTACAGAGCAAGCAGCTGTGATGAACAGCAAAGTTTACTTACACAGAAGTTTCACTAAATAGAGCTTATTAGATTTTCCTCTTGCTTTTAAACAGTATACTCCCCTGGAGCCTGATATTTTAGTATGGGACTTGGTAGTCAATCCACTGCAGTCTAAGAAAGTGAGTGCAAAGGAAGAGTTTTCACCGACTACAACAGTATTGCTGGACCTCACTCTGTAAGACACCGCAGAAAGCCAAAAAATAGTAGGAAACGGGGCTGGGGAAAAATCTGAGAGGTCAATTAGTTCATCTTCCTGCCCAATGCAGGACCAACTGGCATCAACAATTCTCGACAAATGTTTGTGAAATGTGCTTTTAAACACCTCTCCTCCCCCACCCTGTAACAGAGCTCCTACCACTTCCCTAGGCTTTACGTCTCCCAAAGCTTCCGAAATGATGCCGAGGGGACAGCCCCAGAGGAGAGAAGGGGAGGTCAGAAGGGAACTGGTGGCACAGCGAGGTTCAGTGTTCTGCCCAAAGTGACAAATTGGTGATAGAGGATGGGACAAACAACAAAGTAAGACTTAGTCACACCTGGAGAAGCTGTTTAGCAGCGTATACAGATCAAATTCAGGCAGAGCATCTGCTGCAGAAGCCAGTCTTTAAATCTGTAACACAGGCAACCATCCAACAAACACCACGCCATGCTGTCCATGGCCTGGCCATATTCTGCTGTCCTGCTCATCAGAAAGATGAGCCCAGCCTAACGCTAAGAAGCAGACGTGCCCCATGAGGTACGCCCACAGCCAGGCCCCACTCTTATCTATACCAGCCCAAGGCTGCTGATTCCATGGTCCCACCAGGATGTGATTCATGCGTGCCCCTGCTCCACCCAGCTGGCATGCTCATCTCCCTCATCTTGGCTTCAGGACTCCTGCTTCACTGGGACAGGGACTGACATTTAGTGAGATTTTGTAGGGGCCTGTTGACCTCAGTGTAATTATGGTCTTCAAGGTGCTTCCGCAAGAGACATATCTGATGACAACAAAGAATCGCCACAGAGTTCCCTTTAGATTATGAAGAAAGGGGGTAACATTTAGCTGTAATGAGTCTGTGGTCAGGCCACCTCTGAGATCAGCAGTCAGGAGACTAAAAAACCTGACCCAGAACATGGTAGGAGCCAGATGGCGGGGTGTCACCATGTGGACATGTGGGCTACCTCCCCAAATTTTGCTTTTGTGTGTTTATAGCATTTCCACAATAACAGCCCTGAATTACTACTGCTCAGACCTCTTCCCAAAGGTGTAGGTTCTCATAAGAAGGAATTTTCATGTACAGAAAAAGAAAACACTGAAGGTCCTTCTCAACCCTAAGAAGTCAGGAGTACCCAAAGGCCCGTTCATGGTCCTGCAACGTGCTGTGCACATGCCCAGGAAGAGACTCTGCAGGATAAAAATGCCTTATTTAAGCTTCTGTTTGCTGTTGCTGGCAAAAAATTCAGTGGAAAGAAACCTGGAATGAAATGAGTCATTCCTAGAGAATTCAATGGCAGGCTTTTCCCGGGAGGGCTGTCAGAGAATGGCCAAGATTAGAAACCTGACCACATTCAAAGCCAAAACCCAGCGGACACTTTGATATCATGAGGTCCCTATTATAAAAGAAAAGCAACTTTTTTTTTGTGGAGCAAATCTCCATTGAACCAGAAGGAAGGGAAAAAAAAAGGAAAAAAGGAAAAAAGAGAGAAAGCTCTCTTCATTACCTCCATCTCCATTCATACTTTAATGAGAGGCTGCAGTCATTTGCAATTAATACTTGAACAAGCAAGCTGTCAGAACAGATCCAAAAGAACTGGTGTTTAGAAGCCCACCTGTTTGTCATCCAGCCATCTCCTCTTTCCCAAAGCCAAACCCACCTTAAGAGGCCAACAGCTTCCCCACAAGAAAACACTAAGCACATCAAAGCAGATGCAAAGTGTTGCTTCCTTCTAGGTAAAGGCCCTCATCAGTGCCCTCCCTTCAGACATAGCGCTGGGCTCAAAGAACAAGTTGGAAAAACACAGTGGCTTGTGTTATGAGGAAGGTCAGAGCAGAAAGATCTTCAAGCCTCAAAATGCAAGAATCACAGAGGGAAGGTCATTTGGCTGCTTCTATGTGGCCACAGGACCTGCTAGAGGAACCTTCAGTGATGCATATTTCATGCAGACCTAACCACAGAAAGATGCACATGGTTATGGGGTTTTGGGGTGAAACAAGGTCAAAGATCAAAGATCTACTAGATCAAAGTAGAGTGTGCTGTCCCTCACGCTCTGGACTTCACCGTGCTCCTGCAACTGCCCCCAAGGTGGGATGGCTTCCCATGCAACCCAAACACACAGTAGCCTGCAGCCACTTCATGTGGCTCTCAGGAAAGCCATTGTCTCAGCTGTTCTCCTCTCTGCTCTGTGTGTGCTCTCACACTCTGAAAGTTGGTCCCATGGCCTCAAGGGTGTTAACGGGGAAACACCTACTGCTGCTGGCTGTGCAGATGAACTGACAGTGTCTCCATCGTCTCAGTTACTTAATTCCTTACCCTGAGTGAGGGGAACTTTTTGTTCTGGGGGAAAGACAACGTTCCCAAGTCACCATTTAACAGGCCTCAATTGAAATAATTTTAAGAAGGGGAAAAGCCTGGCTTGGAGTCTGAGAATCCAATGGATCTGTGTCCAGACAACAGCTACTGTACGCTCCCTAACTGGGAGCCACAAAATAAGATTGTTTTGTTCACACCAATGTTAACAAAATTAAATTAGGGCCTTAAGAACAAACCACTGTTCAATTATGAAGTGGGAACCGGGCACCCTAAAACTCCCTTAGTAATAAGGAGAAGAGTACCTCATTGTTCACGCAGACTAAGTCCATCGTCTGTCCAAAAGCATCCGTGACCTTCTGCACCACTTCTTTGAATCTGACTGGTCTTGGAAACTGGATAATCCTGTACACACAAATAAAACAAGTCTCAATTTAGCAGAAGCACACTGGAATTTGGGACAATTCAGAAGCAAGGACCTGTATGCTTCTGTCATGAAGCATAAAACTCACTCCTTGCTTTTATACTCATACTGCTCACCTGCTACGCCCAAGGCAGGACTTGATCTACCCTGTAAGAATATCTACCCAAAATCCTAGTGCAGCTCCTCTGCTCCTCCCCCTGCTGTGAGGCACAGGTGGAAAAGAAGAGAGTCCAGTAGCCCTTCACTGGAGAAGAACCAGCATCAGGCACTGGTCAGCGAGTTATCTCCATTTTCAGCAAAAGACTCTGAATACGGAGGAGGGATGGAAGAGAGAACAATACAGTTTGGCAACCTGTGACTCTCCTGTACCATCACATGCAGCAGCTCTACAGGAACACATCAGCAGGTACAGTCTACCCCTACAGCCACATTACTTACATTTTCTTTGGCTTTAACACACACCTTGGGCCATTAGCCTGTGAGTTTCCAGCCCCGTGTCCTGCCCTGCCACGGCCACCGAGCAGAGGTGATTCCATGAAAATGTCAAGCAGGGAAGGGCGGGCAAGCTTTAACTCCCAAGCTCTATTTTTATGGGACCCATGCCCAAAATCTGGTTATCTTAAGTAAGTGTCATAGGCTGCTAATCAAAGGACGTGTTTCTTTAGACTTGCAGCTCAGCTGTGGTTCAGCAGGACTCAAGAATTAAAAAGAGAAAAGGATCCAAGTGTGCAACCTGTGTCCCTGGGAAGAGGCATTTAATTACTTCCAGCTTGGGAACCACTTTGCCTGCGTGCACATCCCAGGAGGTACTTGTGGCAAATGGGATGACAAGGCAAGGCTCTTGCATATAAAATTATAGTGGATTTTAGGGGAAGGAGTCCTGCTGTGAACTCATCTGCAGCTGGCTGAAGTCAGTGGGATGACATTTAGTAACAAGGGTAATTTGTCCCTGTACACATGGGGGACTGGGTTGGGTACATACCTTTTCTCTCCTTCATACTCAAACTTGATCCTGACATTTCGCTGCTGAAAGAAAAAGCAGAAAGTGGTTAGGTTCCAAACTGCATCCCAGCCTGACACACAGATCCAAAGCTGACAGCAGTTTTGAGGGAGACTCCCCTAATTCCAGTGGCATCTGGTCTACCCAGGGCCAAGCTGCCTGCTGGACTCATGGACTTTGGGGAAACTCCAAACTGCCAATAAGAGTGCTTGTCAAAAATAAGGTCTTTTATAAACACGGGGACACTCTTTCATCTGTATAACTGTTTTAGTAAAATGCATTAATAGAAGTGGGAAATGTTGAATGCTGTGAACTCAGTTGGGAACAAGGCACTACTATCAAAGAGGCAAACATTGTTAAGTGTCTGATGTCTGTCCACCTTCAGCGCTTCCCATGGTTTAACTCTAGTACTTTTCTGTTGGAAACCCAAAAAGCAAAGCACAGAGGACGTTTAATAGAACACAGGAATCTTTGGGGCAGAGAAATAAGTAAAAGCAAGTGTGCTATAATGGAAGTGGAGAAACAGTCTTGGATTTTAAAAGCCAACAGTGCTGGGGTGGTTGTTATTTTCTTAGGACATACAAAATGCCAAGTACATCAGGCATCACTACACAATACGCAGTGTAATCACTATACCCTGAACTGACCAGTTGTTCACCTCAGGAGAAATCATTAAATTCACCCCAAGAAAACCCACCAGAGTCACAGGCAGACGGGGCACACAACTGTGCAGGGACTAGTAAAAGCCACTTCCCCCATCCTCTATTTGTGCATATTTACCAGCGATCGAGACCACAAGGAGCCTTTTCATTCATTCAGCTTCTCAGACCGAGCCTGAGCCAAGTACCCCCCTAACATCCCTTGGCTCGTGACAGGGCTTTCCGATGGTCTCCAAGGCAGATCAAAACCCTCTTTACATCCCAGTCACCCCAGTTAACCAGGGCTCTGCCCCTAACTAGTGCACACAAGCCTCCTTAAATAGCGGTTTTCTTCCCATGGAGGAAAAAAAAGCACTCTCCACCTCCCTCTGAGGTGTAACACCAGGGAGTGCTCGGTCCTACGCCGCCTGCATCTCACCGGGATCATCCCCGAATGGGTGGGTGACAGCCCTTCCTGAGCAAGAGCCTTATCTCTAACCCTGGATTGCCAGCGCGTGAGGGCACACTTTCCGTCCTCCCAGAGGGAAAGCAGAGCCACAGTGAAACAGCTTTGTCTCTAATAAGGAAAGTGAGCTGGACGGGCGGCCTTAGGTTTATTTTTAAACTGACAGCTCAATTTCTGCAAACACCCATCGAAGTTCAGGAAGTCAAGGCTGGAGGCGATTCAGTGGAAAAAGCCTAAAAAACCCCAGAAGATTCGGGGTAAACCTGTTGGATAATCCGAAGCAGCATCCTTTTTATCTCTGCTCGTGGCATTTGCTGTGTCTTCAGAAACGCTGGGAAGAACCAGTGTTGGGACAGTCACCAACTGGGGCACTCCAGCTGAACAGGCACTTACATGACCTCAGTGCCTACAGCCAGTTCACCAGACCCACAACATTTGGACAAATCCCAGGTTCACTTCTAGAACCTGGCTCAACCTGTAAAAACACTAAACTAACTGTAAAACAGTCCAAAATTCAAAGGGAGATGAGCATAACCAACCTAGTGTTGAAGGTCCAAATCATTCTAGAGACACAGGCAAATACAAGTGGGATTTCCACCTTGGATTATCTGTGTTGGTAAATTAAAAAAAAAAAAATATATGGACTCTTTTATGCCAATTTTTATTTGCCTGTGCCTCTCTGAACAGGGTCTGGTTGGTTCATCCTTCCTGGATACTGGCATTAAATCAGCCAGAGTGGGTTCACTCCAAGTAGCTCCACAAAATCCTTCTCTAAAGTATGAGTTAAAAAAAAAAAAAATCAGGGCAAGGAACTTTCGAGGTTTCTCCTTACAAAGGAGCAGGACGTGTAAAGGGAAAAGCTCACGCAGCTCTGGTCTTGCTGCAGGAAACCTTTCAAAACACAGGTTTCACTTTCAGCACAGACCCAGATGTAGGGTCTACGCCGAGCTGGGACGTCACACGCGCTGCCTGGTTGTGCTGAGCAACACAAACTTCGCAGACAAATAAGTTTTGAAAAACAGCTTGTGGCTGGAAAATGTCAGAACGCTCGTATAAAGCTCCAGAGGGAGAAGAAAAGGGAAGAAAAAAAAAAAAAAAAAAAAGCCACAACCCTGCTGCATCCTTTTCTTCTACATCAACAACAGGGCTGATGTGCTGTGGCCCGAAGCCAGCAGAAGGGAGCCAGCTGCCCCACACCACTCCGCGTCCGAGCGGAGCGACAAACACACTGCCTGCAAGAGGGGAACGAAAACCCACCCCATTTCTTAACTAGATATTATTTTTTTTCTGATATGTAACATTAACCTCTCGCCTCCCTTAAAGAAACCAAGACCTTAAGCTTGCAAGCATTTGGAAAAGGGATAAATATATATTTATCTATAGTCTGAGAAGTTGGTTACAGTTTTGTTTTGCAGTCTTCCCTTGGCTTGCTCGTGTTTCTGACCCACAGCTACAGCTGAATTCCTCACTGCTATCAGCAAAAAATACTTTCCCTCATTTTAAAAAGAAAAAAAAAAAAAAAAGGGCAGTGCCCGAAGCACCAGGAAGTCCCAGGAGGATGCAAACCACTTCCTAAATGCCAGAGCAGGCTGTGATTTTTACACCCATGGAAATCTGGTTTGGAGAAACTGGTTTGGGATTACACAGGGAGTCTTGGAGCACTGCCAAGTGCTGGAGCAAAATCTCACGCGAGTCCGCACCCAGCGTCTCAAACGCTCCATCGAGGGGGAGGCAGGATCAGCATCTTCTCCATAAGGACCTCAACACAGCGTGGAACTGCTCGAGGACAGGTCGCAGAAGAGGTGCAGGTGGTGGAAGCTGCCGGGTCCTACTCATTTCTGCAATTTTGTGAAGAACAAAGACAACAGGGACTCCTCCTTGCACAATCCAAGCCGTGCTATTTACCCTCCTGGCCATCAGATGTCAAATGAGGTTAATGGCAGCCTTGCTCTCCCCACAATCAAGAGGTCATTACTTGGTGTAGGAGAACAAGCTGAGACATCCAAGAAGGGTGTGTGTTAAAGACGGTGGAGGAGAGGAGTAAGGCCACGGTGTGAGGCACCAGCCTTTAACTCTGAGCCCTGGCAGAGGATTTCAGCAACAGTATTGCTGTGAAAGCTGAGGCAGATAAAGGACCAAGCAGGGGAAACTGAGGCACAAAGGCACCAGGTGCTTTGCCTCAGGGTGCAAAGAAAAAGCCAAGCCTGGGGAAGAGAAGTCTGAGCGACTTTATTGCAGCCTTTCTATATATAAACGAGGCTTTATATAACAAGGAGAGGCTTTTTATCAGGTCCTGTAGTGACAGGACAAGAGGCAACAGTTTTAAACTGCAAGAGGTTGGATATAAGGAAGAAATCTCTTATAATGAGGGTAGTGAGACACTGGAACAGGTTGCCCAGAGAAGCTGTGGATGCCTCATCAGTGGAAACGTTCAAGCCCAGGCTGGATGGGGCTTTGAGCAACCTGCTCTAGTGGGAGGTGTCCCTGCCCATGGCAAGGGGGTGGGAACAAGATGATCTTTAAGGTGCCTTCCAACCCAAACCATTCTGTGATTCATTCCGTGAAGCAGAGTGGCAGAGCCAAGCACACAATTTAGATGTTTGATCTCCTAGGGCTGTATGTACCCAGCAACCTTCCCTCTCCACGTGCGTTTCCTTACGCCACGGGGCACGGAGGAGCCCACGTCTCGGCTGGCGCCTGTAGGCCCTGCGTGAAGCAGAGTGGCAGAGCCAAGCACACAATTTAGATGTTTGATCTCCTAGGGCTGTATGTACCCAGCAACCTTCCCTCTCCACGTGTGTTTCCGTACACTACGGGGCACAGAGGAGCCCACGTCTCGGCTGGCGCCTGTAGGCCCTGCTGTGACACAAACAAAATAAGCGACAACCCCAACAGGAAATACCACAGTAATTTCCTTCGTTTCTGGAATAATTTCTTCTCCGAGATATTTGTACCGGCATTTCCTCTAGCCTCGCTAACAAATGGTATTTTACTCTTTCTTGCCATCTGCCTCAGAAAGGAAAAAGCAAAGCCACCGCAGTGGCCACAAACCCATCACCATCTTTCCAGGCTTTCCTTGAGGTATTTTTAGCTCCTTCCTCAAAACTTCTAATTTCACAAAAAGACCACAACTGCCGAGCTTTAGAGGAAGCACTGTTGGGAATCGGGGAGGGGGGACGGACGACCGTGCACCCCAACAGGCTCGGCCAAGCTCAGCCCCCGGAGCTGGAGCAACCAGCCCTGAGCGCTGGTTTAGATTAAGGAAAACGTTAGAAAAAAAAAATATGGAAAAATTGTTTCCAAACGAGGTGAATCATGATCTTATACAGAGATCCCTGAAGAGCCGAGTGCTGTTTGTAATAAAAGCACACACGGAGAGCAGGAAAACATGCGGTTAGGCCTAAAATGGAAGCGGTTTTGGAGGAACAGAAGGTGCTGAGCTCCCTCAGCTGCTGAAGACCCAGAGGGTGGATCAGATCCGGGTACGGGTCCAAGCTGAGCTATGCCATGCCCATGGAGAAGGGTGATGATGGCACAAGGACACCCTCCCTGCATTGCCTCAGTGCACCTAGAACCGCCACGCTGTAAAATCCCGGACCGGCACCAAGTTCAAAGACACCCCCCATCACGTCGTCTCCTCCTCCCGTGCTCAGCTGCCACCAGAAACAGTGTTCTGGTCGGACCCAACGTCTGTGGCTTGCTTTTAAAGCTGCTTTTGTCAAATCTAGCCAGAAGACAGCTTTGCCAGTGTTGAGACACCACAGGGACAGCGCCTTTGGATCACTTCTTCCACCCAAATCCACGGTTGCCTCACAAACCATCTGGGACAAAGCCTCTGACTCCAGCATTAACCCTTCTGAGGTCAAGAAAGGCAGGAAAAATATCATGAAAAGGGGCCTTCCCTTCAAGAGGAACTCATTCCAGCTTCGCTCTTACCCACCCACAAGACCTGGGGCACGAATTTAGCCTCATTTCCCCCCCCAACCCCATGTAAAATGGGGGCAAAGCAGGAGACCCACTTTTCCACACTGGAGGGTAAGCAGAGGGATTATTTTCACTTCTTTTCTACTTGTTGGATTAGGAAACAATGAGAAACCCCCCTCCGAGCAGTGCAGCGTTCGAGCACGAGGGCTCTAGTTACTCCTTTGTACAAAGGCCCGAAGCGGTGGGATTTCTCCTCAAAATTCTGCCCTTGGGCCAAGAGAAATCAGCACCGCAGGGCCAGGCCGGGAGGAAGGTGGGGGGGAACTTCTGCACCTCCCCGACTAAAGCACGTTGTTTGCATTAGATCCTGCGCTCGCCCCTGCTTTTAGCAAGGGGATGTTGGTTACACGCCAGACAGCTGGACCGCGTCCCTCAACCGCAATAGGAGATGACTAATCCGCGTCATTAGGAATTATCTGCACAGAACCCCCACGCGCTTCGGGTTATTCAGCAATCAGACAGAAAGGGGTTTGTCTGGGATTGCCCCCTTCTCCTCTCGGTGGGGGTGGAAGCTACAAGATATCCTGGTCCCCCTGGATCCCCTACAGCTCTTTTCCTCCCGAAAAAAACAAGCCCACCACGCGAGCAGCTCAGAGGCCAGAGGAAAAACGGTGTCTAGAGGGTTCACTGCTCCCTGTTACAGATATTTTTGGTTTACACAGCAGCAGAAATCACAGGCTTCAAAAATGTTTACCCAAAACCACCTACCTGGCAGGGAACAGGTTTTTTCCAGCTGGATTTCTCCATGGTATTACCCTCTTAGCACCCAAGTCAGCTCCACACACATACAAGGGGAAAGCCTCTTCCCCAAATCCCTGGGATTCCACTGCCTTTGCCGTTTCCAACCAAGGCTTTCCCAGCCACTGCTGCTCCCCTCTTGGACCCTTGCTACTGCCCCCCTGGTGGGCCAACCCCAAAAGATCTCCTTATAGAGACTCCCATCTTCCAGGTGATATTTATGGACCCCCATCATATTCCCCAAAGGTAAAAGAGGTGATAAAGCCAAACTCCTTTTAGGCTGCTTGAAGACCTACAAAGAGAGAGCCCTAGAACATGAGCTGGATTTTATTCTAGCAAGCCTTGTCCTGCATCCAACTTGCCAAAGAAAAGAGTCCAGAGGTAATTCACTAAAAGAATAAACTTTAAGGTCAGTCTGACATAGGACTGTCTGTGCACGGGAAAAGGTTCTCACAAATATTGGACTTTATTGCCGTGGGAGAGTTTACAATCAAAATTAATGTGACAGAGGAACTGCCAGCTGTCATCAGCTATGAGAGAGGCTCAAGCCAATGCCTTGTCATTAGATCTAAGCCCAGCACTGACAATCAACTTCATACTGTGAGTTGCCAAGCCCTATTTATATAAATAAATGGACGTGCACATAAATAGACAGAAGCAAAATAAATGTTAATATAACTGCTCCTTTCTCCCCCATGCTTTTGTTTGGGATTTCTAATTCTTTGCGGTTTCCCTTCTTATCCCACTCAGCTTTTTCCTGAGTGATCACAATGCAGATCTTTATTCTGCTGTTTCCTCCTTCCCCTCTTCAGAGCCACTGCTATAAACAAACTCCTTTGTCTGTTCTGTCCAGGAGATGGCCTGAAAGGGCTCCTTCCAGCCATGCCAGAGAACGTATGAGGAATAATAGAGTGATAAAAGGAATAATGGAGGAATAATAGTGCAGAGGATGCACTAGGTATAACGTCAGGATGATCCCTCTGTTCCCAAAGAATGGCTTCCTTTTAAAGATGGTGACTCACAAGCAGAAGGAAAGGGTGACCATCTCTATCCCTCTGCCCTGTTTTCTCACAAGGCAGAAAGGCAGCAGAACATTGGGGCTGTCACACCTGGCCAGGGAGACTCAAGCTCAGCCATCACATCTGCTGCCTGGGCCACTTAAGGGAGGAAACTCAAATGCACCGTGCATCAAGTATGGATGTTCTCATTTCCACAGTCTTGTTCTACCATGAGGCATCAGAACATCCAGAAACTCAGCCTTAGTCCTAAACTCACTTGTAAGGAAAGCAAACTCAAAAAAGAAAGATTTTTTTTTACGCAACTCGCCAAAGGACGTTCATTTCACAAGATGAACTGAAACAAAACTGCCGATATTTTTGGGAAGAAATATTGTGTAGCACACACCACCACAGACTGCTTTCTTGTGTGGCCCAGGCCCACCAGGAATACTATCTGGCAGGCTCCAAATTCCAACTTCTGTCAAGAGAGCACTGAGGAACCCCTCCAGGAGACAGGGATGAGATAGCACTTTGGTTGTGTTTCTTTGTGAACCAAAAAAACTGCTGCAAGCCACAAAGGGACAGGCTAGTTAGTCAACACATTCTTGTTTTAAGTGTTTTTCAGTGGAAATTTGGAACACTGACTAAAGGATTCCCATGCCTCAGAAAAGCATTTTCCACAGAAAAAAATAGAAATTTTCTTTTTTTTTTTTAAATCTAATAACTGAACGTTCAGACCCAAGTATTTCAATGTGGGCACGTTGCTGCAGGCTGTCATAAGAGGCCTACAATCAGATTCCCAAGAGGAAAATTTAGTATCCAAATACCCCACACCTCACTCTTCCTCTCCAAGAAGGGAGACTGTGCAGTGCATCCTTCAGCCCAACCAGCCAACCTGATCACAGAAACAAAATTAAAAAGAAATAAAGAAGGGGAGAACACCAAGTACCAAAGGAACAACAAATCACCGGCATGACAACAGCATTTCCAAAGCTATCTTCTCCCTCCTCCATCAATTTCTGTGCTAAAAAAAAACAAGAGAAAAAAAAAACCTAAAACTGACCCAAACAAGTCGATTAAGAGTTTCTGAGCTGCAAACATGAACCAAGTCCCCACTAATTCCACCTACTTTGGCCACTCCCCACCTCACAGACTAGACTCCCGTCGTCCCGCAAGCCAGACTTGTTCCAGCCAGTCCAATTTAGTGAAGCAACAATTCGACATACTCCAACGCCCTTCATCTCATGGGGCCTGTTGGGCTGAATCCTCAGCCCCAGATGCGCAAGGAAAGCAGGATGCTGACTATTTGCACCCCCTCCATCGGAGAAGTCTGAGTAACAATGAGTATGGCAGCTACAGCTCGTTAACTTATGGATAAATAGAAAAATCATAAAGGAGGCGATGTTTTTCCAAGCATCGCTGCTTGTAATTGGGAAGAACAGTTTGATTCCCAATGTAATAAAATTAAATGCAAGCGGCAGCCAACGAGGCTGAAGTCAACAGGAAAGCACAACGTAACTCTAACGGTGATTTATAAATGAAGATATAGAGTGGATGGGCTGCGGATACAGATTTGATTGCAAAACTTCAGTTTTATGAAACTTTTGTAGATAAGAATTCAGCCAGTGAGAATGGTTATTTTTGACTATTCTTGTTTTTTACTAAGTATCTAGTTAACTGTGTATCCGCAGCTTTTACAGCAAAAGTTTTCAAAAATGACAGCAGGGATTTTCCCCCATTGCGAGAGAAGAAATATGTTCTTTAAGAGACGTCTGAAAAGCTTTCCTATCCCGAAAGCCACCCGAGATGGCTTGGTACAGTCCCCACCCATCAACTTGCAGAAAACGCTACCCTCAGAGCCATCCAAAACTGCTCTGGATCCTCTGCTCTGCCTGCAGCTGCAGAGAGAGCCAGCTCTGAATTTCTCCAGTCAGTTTTGTAAACATCTTGGATTTATTTCAGCATGAGCTGAAGACAAATCCAGTGATTCAACTTGGGACAGCTGCTACCGCCAGGACACACTTTAAAACAGACATGCTACGTGCGCACGTGTTTTCGTCTGCATGTGTCTAGGAAGTCTAGAGGGATTCGGGAAAGGATTCTTTTCCCCCCTCTGCATCCAGAGCTCTCTGTTAGTAGCACAGTGCCATTAAAATATGCATGACGACAGTAAATGACAATTTGTTTTCTTCCTCACTAGGCATTCAGCAGTTGCAGAGTTGATTGCAGGCTTACTCCAAGCCATAGCCCTAGAAGCGGAATTCCAAGTGGATTTGATCGCATGCTTCTCCAGCAGCTTCCTGGTCCTCTCCGTATCTTTTCCCCCCTTTTTTTTTTCTTGCTATTTTGACAAGTGAATTCTTTCTTCACAACTTGTGTGTTCGCGTAATATTCGTTCCATACGCAAGCAGGCTATTAAATCCACTTTAGCTATTATATCAATGTCAGCCAATAATTTCTGACATTGCTCAAGGGACAATGGTTTTTTTGCTCACCGAATCAACTCTGGATGCAGAACAGGGCCAAAAATATTTGGGTTTAGAAGCATAAACACCAGTAATTAATATTTAAACACTTTATATAAGAATGACATTATTCCTCCCAGAAGAGCCCAGGTTCCTGGATTCCTCCCTTTTGAGTCTACAGCTCAAAGCTGGCAGTCTGTCTTTCAAATATCTGAAGTAAAATGTGCAAATGATAAATACTGTATTTCATCAGCACTGTCAATAATAGAAAACATTTGACTGATCTAACACTTGAAGCTGCATAGCCTCTAATAAGTTCTACTGCTTTCAGTGCTAAGCAAGAGAAAGAAGTGCCTCGGGGTGGGATTTGAGATCTAAACCCAGTTTCAGGCTCTATTGCTGTATTTGTGAAAGATTTGGGGTATCGCTCTCTTCTCCTGCTCCTTCATTGCTCCTCTGTGATACGGGGGTGCCTGGAGCTTCTTTTCAGCTCTCCAGAAAAACGTGCTAAAGCTTCTGCCTTGGTAAAATTTATGTTATTTCTGATGTGCTGAGTTCCTGCAGCACTTGTTAACTTCAATTCTGACTTAAAATCTGTTCTCCCAGCATGGTAAGCACCGTGCCCACCTCTTGGACTTACTGGAGTTTGGGGGGTGGACTTGAGCAATGCCTTACCTGTTTGCTGGAGTGGACACTGTTTTTATTCCTGTTGTTGTCCAGCAGCCCCCCACATTTGCCCAACGCTGCCAAATCCTTCATAATAGAGTTCAGAGCTGCTTCTTCATCTGCAGACAAAAAAAAAAGGAGAGACAACTGAAGTGTGGAAGGCAACCTCAGCCCAGGTAGTGCTGGGAGTAAAAATACAGCATTGCAAATACAATCTTTCATCCTAAATGGGTCAAAAGACATGATGTCCACTCTTCCTGTTAAGAGAGGCATTCAAAGACCACATCACAGTCCCTCCCAGCCCACTGGGTCTTCGAGATACAGGTTTCTTCACCACAGGTGAGACAGATCCTCAGAGAAGCCAGTGGCTGAGCGTAGGTGGCCACTGCTCCTCCAGCTCATAGCCCACGTCTGCTGGCTGTGGGGCCCTTTGGAGAGGGACCCATAGGCCAGATGTACTTTCCAGGGGGCTGGATCCAGTTTGTGATCCAAGATGATGCTCTACAGGACAGAAACCTCTCAGGACCCTCAGAGCTCACACAGCAGGTGATAGAGTACAACACAGCTCTTCATCTCCTCTTTTCCTCCCTCTTATTAAAGATGCTCAAGAGCCACAACTGATTTTCAAAACTAGAGGCAGTGAGACAGCAGGGGACAGGGCAAGAAAACCATTCAAAGAGGCAACAGACTCGACTATCCTGGACAGAAGAGAGAGATTCACTGAAAGCCCACGCAGTATTTCTGATTTCAGCAGTAACTAAAGACCTTTAAGGACCCATTTGACCTGAAACCAATCTCCTCCTTTTCAACACTTTTACATCTCTGGTTGTGGTCTCTTAAATCAGCTATTAATTATTCACTGTGAAATACCAACCCCGAGCACTGGAAGCCCTACCAAGGTCTAGGGCACCGCACAGCTGTTCAGAGGGTATGAAAACCTGTTGGATGCTGCAACGTTCATGATACAGTCAAGACAAGCAGGTATGAGGCACATGAACCTATTACTGTAAAAACAAAAATACAGCTACTGCATTTTGTGTCTCTGTCTCCAGCCACCCCTGCTCCAAGCCAGGCTGCGCATTTAACTCAAAACCTGCAAAGATGTGAAAGCTGACGAAAAAAATATATGAAATCACACAGGACTAGACCCAGACATTGAGGTGCTTTCCCCGGGGAGGTACATGCTCTGGATCCTCGTGCTCAGATACAGCATCACCTCCTCTTTTCCTGCTTCTCCTGCTGAAGCTGTGAAAAAAATAAAGGGTGTGAGGAAAAAAAAAAACTTCTCGTGTATGGTGTGCACCTAGAGCTATGTCTTTAAAGAAATAAGAGAAAAAAAATGGGGGGAAACATTTAGAATCCAGTGTCACTTATTTTAGAGCTCAGAAGTAAGCTCTAATGCCTACATCAGGCATTAGGGAAATTCCTACATTTTCCTTTAGGCGATGTGTGTATACCTATTAAGGTGATAATATATATTATTTCTATATGAATATTAAATATTTAATTAGTAAAATACATTAAAGTGCAGTTCCTCTCCCCTTCCACATTTCCTACTCACTAAAAAACACAGGTGTATTTTTCCAGAGGGGTGGCAGGTAGCATAACCTGAAATGCCAAAAGAAAACACTCAAGAAAAAGACAACTTTCGGTTCTAGTTCAATAAAACAAAACAAAACAAACAAACCAACCAAAACAAAACAAAGAAATCCACACACAACAAGAATGTTCCCCTCATTTGGCTTTTTTGGTGGTTTGGGTGGGTTTTTTTTTTGTTAAAAGGGACCTCTGGGGAAAGCCTAGTTTTCCAGGCACATTTTGTAGTAGGAAAAAATAACACCAAAAAAAAAAAAAGAAGAAAAAAAACCTTTTTTTTTTTTTGGGGGAGGGGGAAGGGAAAGAGGGGGGGAACAAGTTAAAAAAACCCACAAAAACAAAACCCCCACACACCGCCCTCCAGGAATTTTCCACCAAAGCTGTAATCTCTAAAATGCCCCTCACCCCTTTCTTTTTTTCCAACCCGAGTGACAACAAAAGTTTCCTGAACTCGCTGACACAAAACCCAGCCCGTAATGTCACGGGGAAACAGGGTTGCAAGAGGCAGTGGCAGAGCTGGGCTTTTGCTAGCAAAACCACCCAGCTCTCCCACCTCCAAACCTCCCTGGACACTCCCAGCAGCATCTTCGAGGAGATCCATCTCTGGTTAACCCACCAGTGCCCTGCAAGGCTACTCCAGAAATTAAAAGATTCAGCATTGCCCGTCCCAAGGAGGGACAGCAGGGTTTACTGGAAGTCAATACTAATAATAGTAAGAAACAATAAAAATACAACAAACACGGACAGAGTAACTTCAAAGTTTTCTGGAGTGACTGTCAACTGCTTTCCTCTCAAGAACAAGACCTGGCAGCCCCCAAGAGCTGGTCTAAACCCCCTAAAGACCACATCCCTGAGAGCTACCACCACATCCCATGGGTACCCATGAGGATTAACCACGCAGGCAAGAGCAACAGCACAAACCATGCTTTTGCTAGGAAGTCTGATGAGCACATGGCATCTCTGAAGATATCAAGAACGGGACATCTTTGAGCTGAAGTGGAACCTATCACTGTTACCACTAGAGATGAGTATTGAAGGTCTCTGCTTCAGTGTTACTCCCATGGGGGAGGTTCCTTTGTCCCTCGTACGGACAGTAGTCACAAGGGATCACAAAGTCATTTCACCAGGAGGAAGATGGAAGTGAGCAACCCTACCAGATGCAGAGAGACTGCGACTGGAAATCATCTCTGCAGGGTGTAGAGAGAACCTGGATGTCCTCGCTGCCTGTCCTACCACACGGAGCTTATGCTGGCCACCAGGTCAGGGTATTCAAACCATCTTGTGATAAGTTGTCTACTGATTGAAAAAGCAAAGAAGGCCAATTTCCCATGGACTTCTGTCTTCTCCTTAAACACCAAGGGGTTTCCAACATCCAGGAAAGGTTGGGTTTTTATTACATTGGTCTCAAAGCAGTAACAGAGTCTGCCTCCTCTACCTACCCATCAGTTCTGTCAAAAACCTTTTGCAACACAGTCTTCTGAGTCTGTCAAGCACAGGTTTAAAAAACTCCTGGCACTGCAACCCCACCTGCATGACTGCGAAAGATGAATTTCCTTAGACAATCAGGCTACACACCTCTGCCAGAAGCATCTCCCAACAAAGCAAGAAGCAACCACTCACTCTCAAGAACTGGGCAAATTTAGCCTATTTTCAGAAATACCCAACCATCAACTTAATCAGCCTAGAATAAGGGGTGCAAAAGTGGGCTCTAGTTGTCCTGAATCAGGTACTAGAAGGAAAAAAAAAAAAAAAAAAAAGAAGCAAAGATACTGATTCTCATCAACTAAAAACCCAATGCCAAAGAGCATTCTGAACAGTATTTGAGAATTTTTTTATTACAAAATATGAATGTTACTTGTCAGAAAAACAAAATATGCATCTATGCCATCACTGCTACAAAATAAGGTAAGAAAACATCTTCGTATACGAGCAGGAAATGTTGTTTTCTGCTGCTGGAGCATGGAAGAACACAACTTAAGCACAAGCAGAAATATGTTATTTCCTTGAAGTAATGGATCTCTATGTGCTTAAGTAGCTTTTTAACTACTTTTAACAGTGTGTTTTTAGTCCAAGAGAACTGCAGTTTCAGAGGGGCTATGACCAAAGCCTCAACTGTTCAAAACAAAGAGCAAAAAAAACCCCACACCATGCTCTGAGGCAACTTCAGAGCTGGAGCACAACTTGCATCATCGGTTGCAAAACTGACACTTCCCAGTCCTCTCCATGACAGCTTTGCACAGGGACTGGTGCTTTCCAGACTATGCCTCTTGCCCGTCCTAATTACTGCTCTTGGGGTCTCCAAGCTGACTCTCAAGAAGGGTGGAGAACTTTGTTCCATGGAAACAAGCAGCCAGCTCAGCCAGCTCAGTCAAAATTCAAACAAGCACTGAAGCTCACTGGATAATTAAATCCAAATGCCACTCCTAAGCCTCTCCAGCGAACGGGGCGTCACAGGCTGCTCGCTCTCCGTTTGGCTTGGTTTGAGCAAGCCGAGGGTGCAGGGTGGATGGTTCCCCCCAGGAGAAAATGCCAGGGAATCCACAGGAATCCCATGCCCAAGGGACATGCAAGATCAGGTTCTCCTCATCTAGCACTGGCAGGACCAAAGTATGCTTCAGCCTGGTGAGAAGGCATGAAGAAAATGCCAGGGAATCAACAGGAATCCCATGCCCAAGGGACACGCAAGATCAGGTTCTCCTCATCTAGCACTGGCAGGATCAAAGTATGCTTCAGCCTGGTGAGAAGGCAGCACTGAGACCACACCACAAGCATCTCCCCAGGCTTTGCCATGGCTCCAGAACAAAACAGCTGCAAGTTGCACAACCCCAATGAAGAATCCGCAGAGCTCAGATGGACTCAGAGACCCATGAAAACCACTGACTTTGCACAACGTGAGCAGGTTCTCACTCCTGAACAACCTTTTGGACCAGCTTCACTCTTGCACCCTTTAGTACAAACTCACCTGAGGTATTGTGGTTTGACAGGATGAGTTGTACAACGAAGCCTGCTTCCTGTCCAGCACAACATGTAAACAGAAATATTTCTACGATGGAAGACCAGGACAAAGAAAAGCTGATTACACAGACAGCACAAATGAAACATTAAAAAAAAAAAAAAAAATCAATTGCATTTAGCACTTTCCCTTCGTCCCCAGTGTCTCTTCTTTCATCCTCAGCTCACTCTTCACTTTCAGCTATTTCCCTGAGTAGGAAACTAATTTCTTTCTTTCTTAGTTCCCACCAACACCCCAATTTTGTCTTTTTTAAGTTAGCTTCCTGTGACAAAGCTCATTTGATCATGCTCCCAGCCCATCCAACCAAGGACCACTTCCAGCCAAATATAACAGAGGCCTCAAAGACATTAATTTCCCAAAGGTTTGGGGGCGAGGGGAAATATCCATAGTCACATACAGGAGAGGAACACAGAAAAGAAGCAAGCCAAGAACCCTCCCAGGAAGCAATGACCAGTGGAGCTACAGTAGACATGGGAAGGTTGGGTTTATACTTTAATAAAAGTATACAGA